AGAGGAAGTGATTGTTGTCGAATTTCAAAGGCTTTCTCGTGAAATGAAAATGCGTCGGGATAATTACCCATGGTGCTATGTATTGTGCCAATGTTGCCGTACATAAGAGCTAAATCAGGATGATTGGGAGGAAGTGATTGTTTACTGATTTCAAGGGCTTTTTCTTGAAATAATAGTGCTTTTGGATAATTACCCATGTTGTAATGCACATTACTAATGTTGTTGTAGGAAGAAGCCAAATCAAGATGATTGGGAGGTAGTATTTGTTGTCGGATTTCAAAGGCTTTTTCATGAGATGAAAGGGCTGTTGGATAATTACCCATGTTGTCATGCACATTACCAACAACTTCGTAGGAATCAGCCAAATCAGTATGATTGAGAGGAAGTGATTGGTGTCGAATTGCAAGGACTTTTTCAAAATAAGAAAGTGCTTCTTCATATTTTCCTTGAGCACGTTTGATTAAACCAAGTTGAAGATAAAGAGGTGCCGTATGTTTGTCATCGTCTGTTTGATCAAGTAAAACTTGATAAATATCTTCAGCCTTGTTAAATTGACCCATATTATATAGTGCTAATCCCAGTCGATACCATCCTTCAGAACCTGGCAGGCTCTCTTCTCGGATGTAATCAGTAAGTCTGCTTAATTCTGGATCGTTATCAGCAGTCAGTTCCAAGTTAACTTGATATAAACGATCATTTCCATCCATCTGTTTAATATCCTGGATACGAAACACGCTATGCATCGAAAATAAAACTTCCTTTTCTCTTTTCATAGCGCTGATACTAGCAATAGAAGCAAAGGGTGTTGTTGATTGAGCAGGATTAATATGCATGATAAAAAGAATTCCTATTTGATCTGAATTTTTTGTAGCATCTTCAGCAAAACCTAATGAAACTTTGATGTTTTCACTGGTAGATAAGAAGTTGTTAAATGAAACAAGACCACCTTTAGCTTTCATCATTTGTTCAAAATCCGCATTAGATAAACCTTGCCCACGATAAAGAGTGAAGGTGTCAGCAACAGTTTTATCAACATATTGTTCCTGGTGTAGTTGTTCGATATTTCTATGCAAATCACCGATGAAGAAGCCCATTCTTGTAATGATATCGCCATCCATCAATCGTAATGCACGATTGAGCATGGGATAGAGGAACATGTCACAGGTGTACCAAAAAATTGGTGGTTCGTCGTAGTATTCATCTTCAAATTGTTTAATATGAACCATTTCTTCGTCATCGTCACCAAAAACATCGCGACAGTAATTAATATAATCTTGAATGTATTTTTGTTCGAACTTGATGCTCAGTAATATTTCCTTGATGAGTTGTGTATACATAAAAGAAGGATCTAAATGATCCAATTTTTTGTTTAATCCCACAAAACTCATTGGAATGGCATTTTGCTCACATTGATGAGCTGCCGATTTGAGTGCTTTACAGATGGATGTAATATCTGTGAAGACACCCTTTATTTTAGGCCATTCTTTAATCCATTGCTCATGATCTTTTTCGTTATAACAAAAAATAAAAATTGAATCAATTTGAGACATGATGTGCACACGAGATACAATATGTTGTCCAAGTGATCCAGATATAATCATACATGCTTTTTTGTTAACGATTGTTTCAATGAATTCTAGGCATTGATCACCCTCTGTAAATGTATTGATGTCGTTGATAGCCCGTCGCAGTTGTTTAATTGTATTTTGGCAATCACCATTTGTCTCGTCAATGTTACTGTCTAACCAGATAAGAAGAACATTTTGCATGCGTTGAATATTGATACGTCGACGACCTTCTGCATCTTCTGGAAATGGATATTTATTGATTGCGCCATCAGATTCGTTAGTTGCTATTGATTTTCTATTGCTCATTGTTGATTGTGTGAATGCTTTGAATCCAAGTTATTGTGTATAGTTTACTAGTGAGGTAATGATCGAAATCGGCTCATTTAATAAGTGTCTACGTAATTTCGAAACGGTTTTTTCTTTGTCTCATGATAACGTGGTTATAAAAAAGAAATAGTGAAGAACGAAAATAATACATTGATGTAATAATGTCATGGTTGATTAACTATAGCAGTAGCTTACAAAAAATAAATGTTTGATTTCGTTTAATGGAGAAAAAACGTGTTGAGTTATGTTTGTTATTTGAGAATCGCAAGGGAAGAAAAGCATTTATATTGGTAGACGTTTAAAGTAGCTTTTATCATTCTTGTTATATTCTTTCAACTGAAAGTCCGTAAATGATCATTATGTAGATAACTAAGAAAAGCTTGTAAAAAAATACATTCATCATCAACAAACGACAAGAAAGACTAAATCATGCATCATTTTCCATCTGACATGAATTATAAATTTCAAATAAGGATGAATCAGAGTACTTATAATAATTCTTAATATACATACAAATATATAAATATATCACTACTTTTGAAATGAAACCTTTTCAGTATAACTCTGTTCATGGTTTATTAGCGAAAAAGTAGAATTTTATACATATTCAAGAAGTATAAAACAGAACAATATACAAAATGAAGAATGACTTTTTTCTGAATACACCCATGTAGCCAAAATCATCGCACTTTTCTAGTGATGGATCGCGATTTCAACAAAAGAATTCTGAATTATCTAATGATTTTTCAAATACGGAGAAAAATCGTCGATGCATTGCGATTTATCAGTTACCATCTTGTTGGTGTGGGTGTGGATATGAGTATTTTGTTTATTACTCACCCACACCTTCAAGATGCTTCTCGCTATATATCTAATATGATTCGATATTATTTTTAACAATTACAGAGTTAAAATCTTGGTAAAAGATATAACACATTTCGTAGCGTTCTTACCCAATTTTTTCAATACACAAAATCAATATACTATAATCATAGACTTTCTAGTAGAATTTTCGAAGAAAAGCACCAGTATGCTTTTGTGGTAAATACATGGACGGCGCAACGATTTCGCTCTAGGGTAGACTCAATTTTTTCAAACGAATCACTCCAGATAGCAAATTAGATGAAGATTATTTTAAGTGTTCATCGCTTAGTCTTTCTTCCTGACTTTAATTCGTGATGCAATTTAATAACACTGCATGATACTTTATTTTTTCAAGCAAAAACATGAACTAAAAGTGCAACATAGAAATACTGCTTGGAAATGTTCAAACAATAGATGAAGAAAAAAATAAAACTATTCGTACACAAAAAAATCTTTCAGCTTTGGTTGTTTAAAATAAAACCAGAACGGATGCATTTCAAATCCAGTACACATAATTTTTACTTTGAAAAATTATATTCTGATTTTGTTTAACCGACATTCTTATGTAAAAAACTTTGGCGAGAAAACTGTTACAATCATACGCTTTTAATCAGAAATGATGAAAAAATCAAAATTTCCTTGATTACTAGAATGAATTGGGATTATAATCGCAATTCATCATAGTAATCAAGGAAATTTTAGTTTTTCCGGTTATTTCTGATTAAAAGTGTGATTATAACAAATTTTTAATCCTTTTCTAATGGAGTTTAATGAATAAATAACGGATTTTGAAAAATAAATAACTCGATATCGATACAGACACCACACCAGCAGAATCCCATAAAAACACTTCGGTGGACACAAGCTAATAGTAGAGAAAGTGTGTACTAATCTTATAACAATAAAACATCTATCAGAGCATGAAAAATAAACTATAATGGAAACTATTCCCATGTGATCGAGTCTATTCAGGCCTAAAGGCTCCACTTACTGAAATGATACATGATATTTGATTAGCTACAAAATTCTTATGTACAGTTTTGTTTATCTAAAAATCATTCGTTTGATGAATTGAGTTCTTTAAAAAAAATTGCAACAAAAAATAAATATAGTACAATCAATAAATAATTTTCTTTGTTATAAAGTTAAATTTCAGACATAGAAATTGATCTGTATTTGTTTGCTATTCAATATATAAATAATTGTTTATTGAAAACTGATGAATGACTTTGAGTATAAATATCGTTCATATAACTGTATCAGTTATGTTGTAATTTTTTAATTCCACAAATGATATTTATAATTATAAAAGAATATTATTCATAAATACATTGTCTAGATTTATAATACCAACTTTGAAGATTAAGTTTTATAGCCAAATGCAGAACTTAAAGAAATGACGAGAAAATAAATGAAGAAAGTAAAACAAAAAAATTAATTTTGTCGTTTCTGTAAGAAAAAAATATAAGCACGTGAAGGACAAATAATAGAACGAAAAAAACATTTTTTCATTCTGTGTAGAATATAAGAGTAACAACACGTCGTGTCATCAACATTTTCTTTTTCTATATACGCAAGTTGTGTTTCTTTCCTGGCTATTACATATTAATCTAAACATATTCAGTTTAATATCATATCCTATTTTTAGAATACAAATAAAAATGTTATCTACAAATACAACGTTAAATCTTCCATTGACAATTGAAACTGAACCAGTAACAAAAAAACAAAATTTATCTCAATGTCGAATATGTGACGCTCCTGCTCAATATGCATATTTTGGTGCTATTTCATGTAATTCATGTAAAATGTTTTTTAAACGAAATGCCACTGTTGAACAGGTGAGTTTTGATTATTTTGTTTTCAATTTTTAAATAAAAGTTAATCGTATGATTTAGGAAACATTTAAATGTAATTTTGATGGCTATTGTGAAATAAAACGAGGTAATCGTCAGATGTGTCCACCATGTCGACTTGGGAAATGTTTTCAATTCGGAATGACTACTGAAAAATTTCGATCACCAAGACCAACGAAAACAAAAACAAAATCATTGGTTAAAGTAGGACCACAATACCAATCAGAAAAAATAAGATAATATAAATGTACGAAATATTTTTCTTATTTATTTTTTAGTTATCAATATTAAATTCTTTAAAACCAGATCATTCATTATTGACTACTAGTCAATGGACACTTCTCTCAAATTTATATAACAGTTATGATGAATTTCAAGTTCTATTACTTGGTAAATCTTTAGTAGATACACATAATTCTTTACAACCAATGAATGCGACATATCAAAAACTTGTAGAAAATTATTTATTATCTCTTTATGAAACAACTGGAAGATATCTTCGTTCGAATGATGATATTTGCAAATTATCATTTTCTGATCGTTCCATTTTACTCCGTAATGCTGCAGATAATGTATCTTGTATGGCTGGTGCATTTATTATACATCATTTTGATTTATATAGTCTAGACTCTTATTTGAAAATTATGACAGCAATGTTTGGCAATCGTGCAATTTTTCTAACTCTCTGGGCAATGAAATTTATTATTTCAGATATTGTAATATTTAAATTAGCACTTTCATTATTTGCTTTATCAAAAACTACTTATTTATATTCTCCAAATATTCCAATAGATTCGACAAATTCTTCTACAATATTTCATATTCAAAACAAATATGCAGAAGTTACATGGAAATATCTTAATTATAGATATGGTTGGTATGAAGCTGTTAAATATTTTCATAATATCATATATTGGTTTATGGCTTTGACTATGCTCATGGTTCCTGTACAAACTTGTAGTACACATGTTGATAATATTGATTCACTTGTTGAACTAACTGAACTTACACTTATATTAGATGATGCTGACGAAATAATCGAAACAAAATGTTAGTCAACGATTTTTATGTTGTATGTGCTTATTGTTTAGTCTTATAGTTGAATCTTTAATATATACAAGCATAAACAAACTTAAAGTATATTTATTCTACAGTATTGATCAAATCTTTATAGAATATTTATGAAATAAATTATGAAACTTTTCATTTCATTATTACACACGAACAGATTTTGACTGTTGTAGTTGGAATCTCGTTGTTCTAAGAGAGTCGAGCCAGATAGTATTCCAACCAGGGGCGGCAGAGCGACATTAACCAGTTGATTTTTTCTTTTTTACGGTGAAAAATGGATGGATGTTTGAACGTTTTTCAAACCTTAAATACACTGTAAAGAGGGCATAAATCAATACGATTGCTACTGAGCTACTGCTTTATTGCCGGAATAAGCATATCTATATCTATATATATGCAAGCTTAGAAAAAACCAAATGTTCTATGAATAAAATAATCGTTTTTTTCTGAAAAAAGCAGGGAAAAGTGGCGGAGTAGGATACAAGAAAATACCCATGTTTTCGACTCCGACTCCGACGAAAGAAGCGCATAATCTTATTTCGGCACGATCCAGAGTGTGATTGTGGATATAGGTATTATATTTATATCACATTCAGTCACCCCTTATGTATAAAAGACAAGAAAAATGAAATCGTATAGTTTTCAGAATTTTTTTCATATAAAAAGAACAACATCAAAACAAAACTAATGTTTTTATAATCGATATATTTGTTCAGAAATGTTCTTGATTGAATTTTACCACCAGATATATAATTTTTTATCAATACACCCCACCATATAGTCATCAAGTAATTCATCATGTTTAATCGCCATTTTCAAGTTTTCTTCCGTTTCATCAGTCTTCTTTATAAAAAAACACAAAGAAGATAAATGACGATTATTGTTATTAGTTTTTGACAAAATTAATTTCATTAGACTTATTATAAAAGGAATGCAACCATCATATAATTCAAAATTATGTAATCGTGGACATAAGGCAAATAATAATTCAGCTTTTTCCAATGAACAATTGTCATTTACCAATGTCAGATCTTTAACAACATTTGTCTTGGATACCAACTGGAAAATTACATCTTGCTGAATTGTGACAGGATTTATTTCATCAATTGATATAGAATCAAATTCTAATCTATGAAGATTTACTGCAACACTTAATAATTTAACTAATTCCATAAAAGATATAGATACATCTTCAACAACTATTTCAGTAAGTTGTTCTAAAGAAATAATATACGGTAAACTGTTATCTATAAAATTGCCAGTTGGAGCCGAATAATGTATGAAACTTAATTTCGTAGTATTTGGAAAATAATTTCTACACTTGTTGATTGTGGATGCATCGTTACATATCTGAATATGATGAACAGAATCAAAGTTTAATTTTTCTTCAATTGCTCCACCTAATACAAATGTTGTTCTTCTAAAAATATCAAAGATAGATTATACTTTATAAATAAATTTATCTTATACTTATATGGTTTCACTGAAAAGAAAAGCAAATCCTCTGCATCGAATCCAAGAGAATGTTGAGTAGAAAAAAACCATTGTCGTTCAGTCCAAAATGAAGTAGTAAAGTTTTTTATTAGATTTTCATAACTAGATATCATATTGTCTTCATAATCTGCAAAATACATATATTGTAAATCGAATATTGTTAAATTTGGTATATGTGATAATATTAAATTTTGCCATCGATTTGCATCTAAATATGTTATTTGTTTACTAGTATAGAGACGTAATACTTGAAGATTATAAAAGAGATCTTTAGCCAATAGTTCAAAATCATGAAAACCGAAAGACTGTAATTCAAGATATATATATATTAAATTGTTCAATGTAATCGGAAATGTTATATTTTGTCTTTTTTTAGGTTCCAGTAACATAGAAATCGATAAACGACGAATTTGAGGAACGTACGATAATATAATATAAAGTTTATCAAGTTCAATTTTACTTTTAATAACGAGATGTACAATTGAACTATATTTATTGGTAGCAAATGACAATGATGATACTATAGGCGTAGAATGCACTCCCAATAATACATTAAAATACTTTAAAACTGGTAGTTGAAATATTTGATGATAAATTTCAGCTTGATCAATCTTATTATAACCCTTATAAACGATGGTTAATGAAGATAATTTTGGTAGATTAATCAAATATTGAAAATTATGAAAATATGACGATGAAATATTAGTAAAAATAAGTGTTTCAAGTCGAGTTAATTTTGATATATTGTCTTGTGGTGATAAAATAATATCAACAGCAAATGAATTTGTTATTCGAAGTGATTTTATTCGATGTCGATTAGGTATAATTATATCTGTATAATAACGTTGAAATGTTGATTTTGATATAGATGAAATATTGATGTTAATCGGAAGATTTGAATTGATAATAAGATTTACAAATCGTTGATTAAGATTCGAAAAAGTTTTATAGATATAATCAAAATCAAAATATTCAAATATTTCATAAATAATATCATTAGATAAATCTTCGAAATAACTAACCGATTTTGTAGATGAATTAATACGAAATGAATTTTCAAGTTGACGTGCAGTATGAAGCTGTTTTCTTTTCATATCATCAGAATCTTCGATACTAATTTTCCGTTGCTGTTTTATTTGTGCCATATGCAGTTATTTGATGATGCGCTTTAATTTTAAAAATCGAGTACAAATAAGAAAGTGCGAACAAAACTAACTAAAAAACAATTATACGTTCGATGATAATAGAACAGAAAGAAATTGTTATGATGGATCATACATACAGATATATATTTTTCTTTTCTTCGTTCTATTCTTTGTTTTCTCCATGTGTGCGTTTCTCGAAAATAAGAAATTTACATATAACTATATATTATAAATAATACGATCTATAAGAACAAATTTATTCTATATAGACAGAGTTTCATAGAAAATGAACAACATCGTTGATTTACTGGTCAAAATGATAAAAGTTCTTTTTCAAACCGTTCGGATGAAGTAGTCAAAAATTGACTCGATCATAGCAAAAGGCAGATGTTGATGATTCAGTATATTTGAAAAACAGATACCGTGTGGTAGAAAATAATAGTTTTTTAATATTCATCCGTCCTTTGACATATATTAAATGTAAAATATTAACGAAGTTTAGTATAAAGTGGTACAAAAAACACCTAAAATAGGTAACACATCTTGAGGGTGTGGGTGTGGGTGTGGTTGTTGGTGTGGGTGTGAGTGGGTATAGGTGTAAATGAAAAAGAAACACTCCGCACTCATACCCACGCCCTCAAGAGCAGTATACATATATGATCAATGTAGAAAATAGTTTCTGAGCCTTAGTAGAGTTATACGATTTCATATATCCGCTTTATTTAATTAGATAATAAATAAGTCTTTTTTATTTTGTTTTCTTTTATGAAATTCTATTTGAAGTATTTATGTAAAAAAAATATCTTCAGGTAATTTTTACGAAGATTTAATTCGAAAGAAATATTTCTTACTTATCTCATCAAATTAAGAGTTAAGCCGCGATGGATGTTTTTATTGATTAATTCAATAACCTTTATAAAACAAAACAAAAAAATAAGACAAGATTGATTAAATATGTGTTACTTCATCAATCTCTTGCTGAGCTGCGTTGAATTTATGGGTGTGGGATGCAGTCTAGAAATTATTACAGTAATAATCTTTTTCTTTCTTTTTTTAATTTTGAAATCGGCATGTCTAGCTTTTTTCTACTTTATGATAGGTATCTATTACATATGATTTACTAAAAAGACGATGAAGACCTTTTGAAGATAAATACAATCAAAAACATAAAAGCAATGAAAAAAGGTTATATTTTAACATGTAATGTAATACCAATCATCAAATGGGAAAAAAGTAACATACAATTTTCATTTCAAGATCATGAAAAAGTCAACAAAAATTCATCAGAATCTATCACTGCTCAATATGAATTGAAAATACACAGAAACACTTGCAACATCTTGAGGGTGGGTGTGGATGGATGGTAAGACTATCAATCTCCACCCGAAACATCATCCCACCTACACTCTCAAGCTAACGAGAGTATTAATTTGATTTTCTATATTTTTTATTATTAAAAGCATTTATGTAATTCATTGTATGAAAAGAAAAAGTGAAAATAATCTTTAAATAATGTCATCAAATTTCATTTAAGATACAACTAATCGACGTACAGTAGGTAATGTAGTTGTACGTGGTATTATTTTTAAAATCGACCATAAACCACGCATATGATCAATAAGAGAAGGATGAGTTAGATATTCATATGGTAGATAAAAATAACCATGATATCCCTAAAATGATGGAGAAATAAAAAGAAAAGATTCGTTTTTTTTTCTTTTACCCAGTTTTCTCCATAAGAATTTCTACAAATAAAATATTGTGTTTTTCTATTATATCCAACAATCATAATACCATGTATACCAGTTTTTTTAATTAATGGATCGTTGAGATTAGTAGGAACCTCTAAATAACCACCATTATGTTGAATATTTTGTTGAATTAGTTTAATACCAATAAGAACTGGTAACTGATTATGTAGACATGTTTCAATAGTATTTATATCACATATCATATGAAGTGGGATAACAGTATAGCGACTTGCACGTTCATATACTGAATCTGGTGGTAATTCATTTAATAAATGTTTTTCATATGGCCAATATTTTTCTTCACAAACTCCATATTTTCTTAAGCCTAACGCAATATTTTGTGGAAAAACTCCTCTATCTTCAACTTCTAATGTACGTTGTTGAATCATTTGACCATTATAATAAATAAATAAACGAGATACACTACTTTGACGACCCATTGAACGTTTAAATAAATAATTGCAAAGTGCTGCAAATGCACTAGCACAACTATAATCAAATAAATAAATAAATATGGCTATATAATGATTTAATAAATCTATACCAAGTTTTCATATCATGTTGATTATCAATAGGTGGCATCCATTGACGCAAATCCACAGAATTTGCTAAGCGTTGTTTTGGAAAAATCAATGGTCGCATAGGACGACTAATTAATTTTTTATTTTTCATTGAATGATCATTGTGAGATTGCTTATTGTTCGAAAGTATCATTTTTCTTTTGGAAAAATATCAGATATTTGAATAAAAAATGCTTCTGTTGTGCATGACTTATATATAGTAGAAGTATTGATGATATTCATGTTTTATTTCCAACTGACTTGATCATTTTTCACACGAATTGATTAAGAAAAAAAGGAAGAGAACATATCAAATAAAGTGTGACCAGTTTGATATTTCAAAAATATTACTCATGAGAGTATAATAACATGTGATACTTTTATATAACTGTTTGTTTTTCAATTATAAAAAGGAAATACATATTTATTTTCGTGATTAATCTAGTTTATTTTTGTTGGCGCATAATAAGAATACAGAGGGTGTGTGTGGGTGTGTGTGCGGAGAGAGTCAGGATATTTGCTAAAGGAAGAAATCCAAACACTCACACCCTCAAGATAAATTCGAAGAATCTCTTTATAAAAATTATTTGTATGAGAATAAAACTAAATTTTATTAAATCTACTTGCAAATATTTTATTCAGGAGCAATAATTTTCAATGTTCAACAAATAATTGTTGTTTATACAATTTTTTTTATATAAATATTTTTACAATTTTAATTTTCTTGTTGCTTTTTTTAATTTGAACTTTTCAAAATAATTTGTTCACAAGACTTTATTCTTAATTCTTTATTTGTATAGTTATACGTACATTTCATATCATTTGATTTATTCATCATATATGTAAATTCATTGATAGTCGAAAGAAAATAATTTGTTTGTAATACAATTAATATAAATAGTAGGAATATTTATATATTTCTAAACATTAAAATGTGATTATTATTATTAAATAGTATAAAATTGTATAATAATAATAATTGATCAATATAAATATATTTGATTTTCTTATAAAATATTTCTACTAGTAGATCTGTTATTGGGTATGGGTAGTTAAGGGTGATGAATATAATATTCACACCCACACCCACCCTCAAGTTAATCTTTACAACAAACAATGTCAGATATCAGAATATTATTCTCTTATTTTATATATAAATGATGAAGTTTCATAGAAAAGAAAAGAATATAGATTCATTCAAATCTAAACACAAATCATTTAAATTTAATATGTGTCAACTTTTCAAATGATTCATTTATACTGACAAAGTTAATGTCAATAATATTTTGCATAAAAATAGATTTTAATTTTTAACAAATATCCTTGTTATTTAATATAATTCAGCTATTCTTTCCAAAATTATCATTTGGATCCTTTTACTCTATGAATAACTTTGGAAAAATAAATCACAATCAACAGTTTTGCAAAAAAGATAAGAAGATGATCTTTTTTAGACACATTGTATTATATATTTATCAATGAATAAGAATAAAAATTATTTTTGATATTTCGTTTCTTTATTCATATATACATCTCATATCGAAGATTCACAATGTTAAATGAATTAACATTAATTAATTCTTCATTTTTCATTTGAAAATTCGATATTTGAGACATTTTGAATCGATATTCAATTGTAATCTAATATTATCTGAAAGATTTTGTTCATTTTATATATTTTACAGATCTTTTTACTCCCAAATGATTTCTCCACTAATAAAATAAATTTCTACAATGTCGTCCTTTGATTAAGATAATATTTTTACTTATTATCGATGAAAGTTACTAATAGATTTTGTTTTATTTTAAAATGAGGGAAGAGAACATACCTCTCGTCTTGTCGAGGGACATGCGTAATTCTTGGGAATGGATAAAAATATTTATTATTAGTACATCTTTAATTTATAGTTTAAAGAATTAATTTTTCATAAAATACAGTGAAAATAAATGAAATACCGATTGATCTTCTAAATTTTTTCTTTTTACCCTATTTTAATAAAACAGTTTTCAAAAAAAAATTCATTAATATTTTATTTAATAAATTCTTATTCGATAACAAATCTTTTTTATTTAAAATAGAAGAGAACAGAAAAAGAATCGACAGCAACAACATGATGATTCATCAATGAAAATCTAATTAATATTCATCAAAATATTTTGTTTTCAATATTAATAAAAAAAGAATTTTTCTTAAAAAATTTCTTCTTTTTCAAACAAAATTTACATCGTATTTTGATTGTTTAGAAAAAAATTCAACAGACTTTCTAGAGAAATTTTGTTTTATAGAAAACTATTTCGCCGATAGAACATTTTGTAAGCAAAGGGTGTGACTGAAGTTAGAGTGTAGGTGAGGGTAAGCGTACAAGCGCATTAAGGATATATCGGACATCCACATCTACACGCTCACCGTCAGTATGGTGTCGAAGAATACCATTATGTGTCACCAGTGTTTAATTGTAAAGCACGTAAATCCATATGAATTCTTTTTCTCTTTCTTTGCAATCACATTTCTTGTAGATTTTGTGATCTTGAATGTCTTTTTGTCAACTTTTGTATATTCTTTCATAATAAAATACGTCATTGGAAAAAAAGAAAAAAAGTGACTCATAGTGTTACTTTATAAAACAAACTAAGCGGATCATTCCGCGAAAAGAACATTCGACGACACGCACAAAATACCACCCGAGAT